AGACTTTGTGCCACTGATCACCACCCAAATACAAACTGAACCCTGAAAATGAAATTTACTGGCTGTTTACAAGGTGAAAAATTGGTCAACAAATTTGATCCCATTAATTGGAAGCCTGTGCTCTTTTCCTTGAGATGTGCTCAAAGTGGCCTGCAGTGTTTTAAAAAACTTAGGGTTTTTTTCTTCAGCTTTGTAAGTATGTCATTTTCTATCACGTCTTAGGACAGACACTTGGGGGAAACTGAATCATCATTTGGCAAAAAGAGGACTTCATTGATTTATACCAAAGGAGCCATTTTCCTTCCATAGTTCTCACTGCGCGACAGCAGAAATGCTACATAGTTAAGCCTTGCTACCCTCAGTAGCTTAGTTTTTAGGTTATTGCTCAGTGTTGCAGCAGGAGAAACATAGAATTTAGGAGGAAAATGCTGCCATATTAATGATGTACAAATGTAAATGAGATACAGGTTTTAAGTTTTCAGTATTTGTTCATTTGCTGTTTAATATAGTTGACTTATTTTCCCCTGAGGATTACGCTGTAATTGTATTTGTCATGCCCCAGCCCACAGTCTTCTCAGATGTAAAGTTTTCAGTGATTAATAATGTTGCATGTGGAAAATGTTAGGATTGGGTGTATAGTCCCTTTTAGTTTACAGGGAAGTTAAGGAAGGGAGAAAAGGATCTTTTTTTTATTCACTGACAGACTATTTCTATCAGTGCTAATCCCATAGTCTACATTCTCTCCTTGAGAATAAGTATTTTCTGTTCAGCTCACTTAGATTCGTCTTTTTCTTGCAGGATAAAATCTTTTATGATCATGTTGTACAACCTGTCTTAAGGGAAGACAATGAAATAGGAGTTCGATCTTTGTCAGAGAGTGAAGACAAGATCAAAGGATCATTTTCTTTAATGTCTCTGTTTGACAGCATCACATACAACAAGGTTAGTATACTCTAAACTAATGGTACAAAGTAGGTTTGAGAGAAACTGTTGAATGACAATGCTTTTGATAGCTTGTTTTCTCATTCAAAATTTGTTTCTGCTGCACATACAAATTTATTGGGTGTTGCAAATCTATTTGGCTGTGAAAGAAATGGTGAAAACATTTCTAATCTCTGTGAAATACGAAGCCTAGGAGTAGACTGACTAACTTCTCTGAAATATAGTTTGAAAAAATATTGCAGTAATAATCACAATAGTAATTCATGTTTTCTCATTGCTTTTTTTTGTACTTCAGGGAGCTTCTATTACTTGGATGCTTTCTGGTTTCCTGACTGAGAAGTTGTTTATCAGAGCACTTACTGTAAGTTTGAAAGACTAATGCCTTCATTTTGATTTATAAGCTTGAAAATGACAATTGTACAAATTACTGTTTGTCTTGCTGATGTTTTTCATTGAACGCTCATGAATTCTGATTCTTCTGTTT